CTTCTGCTTAAAAGGTTTTAGCGGGTTAGTTAAATTTAGCTTTGCATCCTCTAGCTTTAGGTTTTAAATAACACATACCTATTTTTCATTCATTTCTAAATTAATACGTATTAAATTTATTTAAATTGATAAGTATTTAATTGAAAAACGTTTTATCTTTTTATTTCTTGACTTCGAAAACTAAAAAGTTTGACTGAAAACATTCGCTACTAGCTAGAATATGAATGGTCACAATGTAAAGTTCACATGCGAAACTTTGAATTTTATTCGAAGATAACTTCAGAGGGTTTAAAGAACCACTTCGTGTAAGCACGGTATTCAAAACATCTTGAGCCATGGACAGTTTCACAAACATCTTTTATTATCAATAGCTCTCACTGAAAGGCCGGTTTGGTTTTCGCATGCTGTTATCAGCAATCTTTATTGTCTATCGGAATTGCCTTGAAGCTGTTCATGTTGAATGTCGGTGTGCATTATATCTTACTTATTCACTGCTACCTGCGTCAGAGGTCATGATATGTCTTCACGTGTCCCGGCTAACTGTTTTCATAACTTGTTATTTTACCACTTGACCACCCGTGACTTTGGCCTCAATTATTTCCACGAAAAACAAAGCAATATCCAGAGGTTATTCATTTTAAATAACGGAGACTTCGAAAGGAGCGATTTAATTAAGAAGAAATATTTTCGCGATGGGAAGTATTAAGAGAAACAGGCTGACTTCTCGACGATAAGTATTACTAACAACGACAATAATAATGATATAAAAGTAATAACATTTATCGGTTTTTGGGTGGTAATCAAAATAGCTTAGTTTCGGCTGATACACCTAGTATGGTCCTTGAGTCCGCGACAATTATTTCTTACTACTCAGAAGTTACTGGATGACACTCAGTATCATCTGAAGAATTATACAGATCGAGGAGGGTGTTAGGCCGAGGCGGATAACACACTCCGAGATCTGCATAATGCCTCATCGAATACATTATTATCATTCATTAAAAATAATTCACACTCCAGAACACCCTTATCTTTATCGATGTTGAGGTACGGTAAAACGACGACAACAAAAAACGTGCAACTTGTTTTGCAACAGTGCTGCAAAACAAGTTGAATAGCGTTGTTGCCCGTTTTACCATGCACCCTCGAAAACAAACCTTGCAACCTTTTTCGTTGGAAGACAGGTTCGATCGTGGGTGGTAAAACGCACAACATCGCCATTCAACTTGTTTGCAACAATGTTGCAAAACAAGTTGCGCGGTTTTTATTTTATTTTATTTTTTTTTTTTCTTTTTGCCCGTTTTACTCTAACTTTAGGTTCCCGTCTTCATGTTTTGTTCCTCGGTAAATTCAGGTGATATAAAGAGATGTTAAGCTCCCAGCAGATATTCAAATTGCCGTTGTCATCCTTTCAGTTATATCTTTACTGTCCCCGTTATGTTTAAAAGCAGAAGTTCGGCTTTTTCTTCTTCTAAAAAGTGTGAAATTTTCCGCCATTTTCTTTAGCTCGGAGGTCACACAACTTTGTCCCCAGAGCTTCGCGGTTGCCGTGCCTTTTTGGCGATAGAGTGCACTTTTGACGTCATTTTATGGCATATCGCAAAGATCTTCCAAATTTGGTCAACGCTACCTGGTTATGAAACGGAGCATGTTCTAAATGAATATTAATCGATAGATTTACAGGCAACTAACATGACCGGAGGTGTGACAATTAATCCACTTCCCAACCATGAGGCAATTATTTTTTCAAAGCTGGACATTCTGGTACATGCCTCTAGCTGCCCTTATTATCTTGCTCTCTCTCAGAGAAGTTTAAGCCTGGACAATCATACCTTATGTTCTCAAATCCTTAGGTCATTCTTAAATAAATTTAGAAACCACTTATTAGCCTTCATCATGAAAGAATGGCTCTTGTTTTGTCAAGAATACTTTGAAAAGAGGTCTGACTCTAAGTATGGGAATCACAGAACTTCGCCATCACTACAAAAACCCTATATTACTGCAGGTTATGAGCTCCTGATTACTGATTGTATTTGAAAGAAAAAAGCTTCGGTGGTATTAAGACTGGCGCGATTTGTACGTGCCGGAATTGAGGGGAGGGTTGGGTGGGGTGCCTAATTGCAATAAATTAAACTTGCTGTGGTGATAGTGTATGCTGTAAACGCCTAATAATGCATACCTCAAACTTCACGTTAATTAAAGCCAGGTCTCCCATTGTATTGAAGGGGGCGTTGTGCCTACTAAATTTAGGTTTATTTACATGGCAAACGTTTGCAAAAAAGGGTAGAAATATGTTAAGAGGTTTTTAATTTGTGAATTTACAAATTAAAAACTTATTTCTACACAGAATTGGAAATGAGGCAGCATCTTCAGATATTTTAACATTTTAAAAGGTTATGAAAACTGATTTCTTTTGATCATAAAATTTTGTAAGTGCAACGAAAGAGATTTGTGACGATAAGCTGACATTAATCCTTATATTTTACAGAGACCTTTGGCGAATATATGACGCAGTATTGTGTCGATATCACGCTTATCATGAAATAATAAAATGTAAAAGTAGATGTTATTTGTGTAGCTTATCAGTTTAGTAAATCGATTCAAACGCTGTGATGTCAAGAAATCTCTACTTGATCTTGAAAGCAATTTACAGGGCCGGTTCTATGCGAACTACCCAATTACGATTGATGAAAATCGTCGTATACTTGGTAACATGCCAAAAAAAATGTCTCCTTTGTAGTGTCCCACTTTCAGGGTCATAAATCTATTTGTCTAAACTTGTTCTTTCACGCCGTGTTTGAATTGTGTTCGCCTGTTTTAAGTGCTGTCTTGTCTTACGAGTCGAAACGAGCAAGAATGGCTGGGCGCGATCAAGGCGGGAATCAACATCGTAGTTGCTGGCAGTTTTAAGTTTCAGGGTGCTAAAAGTTTGTTCTACTGACTAAGGGAAAGGCTAAAATGAAGCGAAAACCTAGCTCATTATTCGAAACCCACCAAGCCCAGTATCTGCTTTGTCTTTTATCAGGCAGCGTAAAGTGACGCATACTTTATCTGATTTAGGATTGCTCTTACTCAGTCAGCACTGGTTTGGAAGTTTTCGTCGAGCCGGTTCACTAGCGTCTAGGTTCGAACGTAAATAAGGTGTATCATACTTTCAACGAGAGAATCGAAGGTAACAAATTCCGTTTTTCTTTAGCTTTGCTTTTCTTTATTTCGCTGACCAAATCGCTAGAAGTTTAATTTTGTTTGTGAAATCCTGCTCAAAGTTGTTCGAGCGGTACCACTTTGAAGGGCCAATCCATGGTCAACGCGCCTTACATGAAAAGTCAGGGGCTATTTTTAAAGGGAGTACTCAAACCAGGACCGTTGTTAACGTTAAAAATTGAAAGTAAAAACGCAAATGATTTAAACGAATTTCGGCCGAAGACCACCATTAACAAGAAACGCTGTGAACAATGGAATGTTTTTAGGCCAGGTTACCTGGCTCCCGCTCGAATGGACAGCGAAAGTGGTGGTACGTGCCGTGTTTCCAAAATCCCGTTTTTTAACAGTCGTTCTTCCTATATTACTTCGGCATAGAAATGATTAAAAATAGTTCTGAATAGAATCTTGAGCAAACAGGGAAGTAGAATTAATGAACCGCCATTTTTTTCGTAATTTGTTTTATGGAGTGAAGAGTCTTGTCAAGGCAAGTTTAACCTTGTCAAGTGACCCAGAATCCTTATTGACAAAGATTCTTAAACTTTCAAAACTTAATTATTTTCGATTTCGCGGCAAACCCAACTACTCCAAAAAAGTAGAGACTAACAACATTGTTTTACTGTTCGCGACATCTACTTCATCCATTGACTCAAAATACACGGTGCCGTGAAAATCGAGTAAAAGAAGCAAAAACTGCAATTTTACCGCACATTGCTTAACACCGCAAGAATTTCTACCCGACAGCAATTTTTGTGACAGTTTCATGCACGCATGGACTTTGCACAGCACGAAACACATTGATCACCATGCAGTATACTTTTATGTAGTTACAATTATTCCTCATTGTTCTTGTCACAATTTAGGAGTTCATCCGCAGACCCAATTGAGTTAAAATCATCTGTATTGACACGGGGTAGCAAAGAGACCGATAAAGTGTTTCCTTCGAAGCTGCCATTCTAATTAGGTTTTTGACAAAGCATCTTGCAGAGCATAACATATAATGCATACCAGCTAACATTCAAGCTTAAACGACCAAGAACTATGAACGGGTTAAAAGATTTTTTTCAATCTGATAGGATTTTCCTAAAACATTTACTTATAGCGGCGTCACAGACTTTTTTTTTCGTCTAACTGTCTAAACCACGTTGTTATACTCACGGAACAAAACTGTGGAATCTACTCAATAGTTCAGTATTGATTTGAAGAAATGTTTTGGTTTCAATTTAACTGAATTAATGTAGACATTATGTGTCGTTGTCATAAGTTTGAAAGGTTTTGCACAATCTAACGAAAAAGCTTCTAAGTGCAGTGGCTTTGAAATGGGGCGGCTTCAGTAGTTCTTTATAACAAGAGTTTTAGGATTACTGGTTCTTGGTGAGTATATAACTGAATTGACTGATAGCTTTCAGTGTCTAAATTTAAGCCTCAAAAAGTTACATACTCAGCCATGAGTGGAATCTCATTTAATAGAGTTTTTGTGACCGGAATTAGTTTCAGTTTGCAGGACACACACTAGTTGCTAATTGATGTGGCTGGCGGTTGTGTCCTTTCAGCGTTGTCTCAGTGACCTCAGCGACAAAGCGTGGCTTTCAAAATTAATTCAAACATCAATATTAGTTTCGAAACCTCATTTGTTTAAATACCCCGTTCAATTCTCAGAAAACTAAAATAAAAGCACCAAAGGCTGAGCTTTAATTTGGGAACAATACAATCCAACAATTTAAGTGATGTCTAGTGATTTCAAGTAGACGGTTAAACTATGTGGGTTCATGTAGACAAAGAGTAGAATCCTTCTCTCAGAAACTTGTTAAATGCAGCCGATATGAATCATGTTCTTAAATCGCTCTTGTGGATGTTCATTTAAATGATCTGTCTCTTTAAAGGTTCATTCATCCGTAGATAAAGTTACGATCCTTGCTACGAAAGTTTAAAGATTGGCCTTGATCTCAAGTTTACTTTCGCGCTGTTAGCGTCGCAGTAGCAGATAACGAGATATGTATCATGATATCACAATGTTATTGATTTGATACGGCATCATATATTGACCAAACTACTTCAGTATTAGAACCCTGTAAGCCCCAAGAGTGACTAAAATCAATTTTCTCCTGTTGATATCAATATTAGGTTATGAGAATAAATAAAATGATATACTCACGGAAAATATTTTGATCTTCAAACAAATTCTCTCAACGAATTCTCTTAGGTAATGTATGGAGATCAGTCTTGAGTATTTGTATGTGGGTATTGCCGCTTATAGGGGAAATCGAATTTAATTTTGCGGACATAGCAATCAGCATCTCTTGTTTAAAGCGAAAAGGACAGATTTCAGCCCTGGAGGGTTTTCCCCTAAATGTAAACAGGAAGTAACTTCAGAAGTTCAATGTTGTAACAATGACTTTATAAATAGGCTGATAACTAATTCGTGTGCACGCATTCCTAAGCTAGATTATATCAACTCCTTAACGTGAACTCGAGCTTATCTGCTAGTTTCCAAGGTACGGAGTGGTTGTAGTTTCGAACTAGATGTTCTAATTGGATCCTTTACGTTGTGAATGTGTCACTTAAACGTGGAAACATTCTCGTTTAAAAGAGCGTTACCTTCAAAATTTTTGAACTAAAGAAAGACGACTTGATCTGCTAGTAAGTAATTGTTAAATGTGTTTGTTATTGAATTGTTTTTTTTTTTCTTTAATTTGTTTATACCAGCTTCAATTTTCTCGCAGAACGTTCTGAGGAAAAATCAGTAATAACTATGCGTCCCTAAGGGGGTTACTTTTTTTCTTTCTAAACTAAAACGCGAATCACCACTCTGAAAGGTTAATTCATACCTCGCTGGATTTAAGGCATTCCTGAAACGCAATTATCCACTGCTCAATCCTTGATTCTCGACGTTTCCTCAGTTCATCCTTTTGTTGACACAAAAAATGCTAAATGCGGTAAAAACATTACAATTATTAAAAGAAAATAATAGTTTGTTATAAACATTACTGAGCAGAAACGAAACTTTTCCGTATTTTATGTATATTCGTGACACCTTAATTTTATTCCACCGTCGGTGCACGGTTTGTTTCATCGCTTTGCTGATTTTGTTTTCAAAGCAGAAAGTTTTTAGTAAGAACGTTTCGATACTTAAATCAATTCGTGACACTAAAGTTACTAATTAATTCAGTTTCCAGCTTCTTTATATGTAGTTTTTAAACAACTTCTTATTAATAATTGCAGTGCTACAGACCGGAGGGTATGTGTTGATGAATTTTAATCACTAGCCAGCACTCAAACGTACATCACTGAGACAGCTATCTAGCGCTCCAAAAATCGATCATTACCCGCGTCTAATACGAAAGATTCTGTAGTGATGAAAACTTTCCGTGTGATGAATAATTCACCCGGTTGAGTTTTGGATGTTTTAGTGGACAGGAGAACATTCCACAATTATCAGGAGGCTAACAATTACTATCTGAAACTATCGAAATGGAAGTCAAAACGTGGTTACTGAAACACCGGTTTCTTTCAGCTGCCGTACGTAACCTTAATGCAAAATTATCCTACAGCAGCCACTAAACGTTGACAAAAAGTGTAGCGTTCAAGCGCTTTTAGTAGCCGATGACGAAAGCTGCCGACCGGTCGTGGTTTTAATGTTGGTTTAAGCTAGAATCTTACCCTAATACTTCAAGTGCGTATACAGTTCAAAGGGTGTTCTTGTGGAAAGCTATTACGACGAGAAACCGACCATAGGTAACTTTATATCGCTTTGATTAGCGAGACGAGTATTGCGTACTAGGAGTTGAAAAGAGCTTTCTTCTTCGTATTGTTATTTACTTGAGGAGCTATGTTAAGTTTCTTACCATAGAACGCTGGTAAAATAACAGTTGTTTTGCCGAATAAACGCGATGATTCACGAGGAACGATTAGTCGGAAATTTCGGCCAGTTGGTACTAACTTAAACTAAAACAACTTATCGATAAATTCCTGTTTTAAAGTGATAACTAAATTTCGTCGAGATAAAATTCAGAAGGAAACCGAAATTATCCAAGCAGCATTCTGCGTTTGGTACCAGAGTATTTAAAGCTTTAGTCAGTTTTGTGACGGGAGGAGAGAGGATAAAGTGTTCTGTAAAGCCCATAAACCTTACATTGAACAATGCAAGGAGGATATGGATGGCGCTGTTGTTACACGAAGAGCAAACGCCTCCCACCATTGTGGTCTGAATTGAATTCCATTTTGCTTGAATTTGATGTAAGTTCTCTTCTCTACTGTTTTCTCCAAGGTACTCTGGTTTTGTCCCCCTCCTCAAAAACTGAAATTCCATGTCGATATGGGTTGTGTTAGATAAAGAGCTTTTCTGTGGATATATGCTATCAGTAAAACAACTCTTTATTTATTTATGTATCTATTCATTTCATTCGTTCATTTGTTCGTTCGGTCTTTCGTTCGTTCGTTCGTTCGTTCCTTTCTTCGTTCGTTCGTCCATTTATTCACTCATTACGTTAACATTTTCTGGGATGAGCTTATCACCAGTCTTAAGTTTCTACCAACTTTGATTTTAAAGATATTTTATTTGGCCATTTTTGCCCGGATAATGATGACAATATTCTTGTTAATTATATTATTCTTGAAAGTAAATATCTGATTTTTCGTTCAAAGTTAAGTAAATCATCTTTCACGACTATAGCCTTTTATTAGCAAAATGCCAAAAAAAGAACAACGAACGTTTCATTGCGAATAAACATAAGAAACTCCACTTTCACAATAAAAAGTCAGGGGCACCCAACGAGAATATAGTTCCAAACCACTTAAACATAGCATCGTTAAACGTATTTTAGTATTAAAATGGTAGATATAGGCATATTTTTATCCCCTAAAAATTTTTCATCTGTTCGGATTTCCTAGCCGAAAGTCTAGTGATTCGAAAATTATAGGGATCAAAAGTTAGCTGTTCGAAAATTTCAGCCAGAAAAGAGGCTCCCGAAAATTGTAGGTGACCTTTCTAGGGTAAAAATCTGCTAAAAATGGGCAGTTATGCCATTTTTTAGATGTTCGAAAATCCTTGGAAAATCCTTGGAAAATCCTTGGAAAATCCTTGGAAAAAATGTTCCGAAAATTCTAGATCTCCAATCGTCTTCCGAACAGATATTTTACGAAAATTGTCGTTGGGTGCCCCTGAAAAGTGGGAACCTATCCTGCCGTTGATGGAACTTTAGCTATCACCACGCTTCACAACAACTTCCACCAATGTAACTTTTTCTTATTTGTTTCTTCAGGTGGCGCTTGCCTAGTGTCTAGTGTTTAGTATTTAGTGTTAGTGGATAGCAATGTAGGTGTGTTGAGCGTTGTGTTTTTGCTTAGCGTGGTAATGATATAGTGATAGTAACAGCGTTAATGCTTCGTTCCCTCGGCTTTCCGTTATTCAGTATGTAAATGTCTTTTACCTACCATAATTTTTTTAAATCTCGAGTGGCATCTTTCTGGCTCTGGTCTATTCAACTTCTAATATCGAGTTGACAATGAGGTACGCTAGAACGTTCTTAAAGTTTATTTAAAGTTTTATTTAAACGTTTAATGACAAGTTAAACGTGGACTGGCACTACCGGTACCCTACCCAACCACCACCCTACCCCACCCTTTACCTTGAGTCCCAAATTCACCACACCACTGGGAGTTCACCACCACTGTTAAACGTGGTACCACCAAAATTACCACTGCTACCTAACTACCACCACTACCACTGTCCACTGCCACGCCACTGCCACTGCCACTGCCACTACCACTATCACCACCACTACCTGTCACCACCACTACCTGTGTCCCTGCCGCCAAGACCACAGCCAATCTCGTATTGTAAACTATCAGTCTCAGACGGATACCGGTAATTCAATTAGATGCAAGTTTGGCGTTGAATTGCAGGTTGGTCATCTGTTATCGCGCCTTTAGTTGCCTGTAAGAAGGATGGGATACCCTGAAATGTCTTGCCGGGTCTAGGCGTGCAGCACATTCTATCTCCTCTTCAAATTTAGTCCTTCATGGTTTATCCGTCTGTTGGATAATTAAGCTAGACAGTAGGCCATATCCACTGTGAATCAGCAAATATTGTCACTTAACTCACTTTTTTCTTTTATTGTAGAAAATTTCATTTGGTGGTTACAATGACAACTTTGTCCTCATTTCCTCATAATTATGAATTGCCAGTTTGGCCTACTCCTTCAAGCGACAACTGTGAGGACTTATTTCCACTTGAACCGTTCGACTTTGGCTTAAACGACTTTGATATCCGCCGTATATTGGATCCTTCGAGCGTAATTTCTTTAGAGAGCTTTCCATTGTTCAGACCAGAAACTCCTGAGCCTAGTCTACTGCAAAAAATTTCCACGCCCGAGGATGTTTCTTTGAACAGTATGCAAACCCTTGGGCAATTAGAGAAAACATTTACCGCGGAGACTATGATCCTGAACAGATTGCCAACTCCCGAGCCAGATCCAGTGAGCGTAAACTTCTCATACCAGCCGGGCGCACTGCAAACAACAATCACCACCGAGTCCACTCCTTTGTACGATGCACCCACTTCCAACTCCAGTTATTTGTACAACCAGCCAACTTTAATACCTAGTCCACTGCACAGGGCATCCACCCCCGAGACTAGCCCACTGGACAGTATACCCACTCCAGAGCCAAGTCCGTCGCCAAACAAGCCCATACCTGAGGCCTTGTGCAACACGCCTGCTCCTTTGTGTAACGCAATGTATAGTTTCCCAACCCCAGAGTCCAGCCCAGTCGAAAGGATTCCCCCACCTCCTCCTCCAGGAACCAGTCCTTTGCAGATGTTTGAAATAAAACCAGAGGCGTGTAGAGATACAGCCAATTCTCCCTCCAAATTCGGACAAGTAGTTTTGAATCCGGAGAAAAAGGAAGTGTCGATGGATTGTGAGGGCAAGGAAACTTCTTTTCTTAGAAGTGTTAAAAGGGAAGAAAAGCAACAAGATTTCCCAGGTAAGTGACAAAAACCACTTCGAATTTTCTTTCGCTCGTATTTTTGTTTACAAAAACTATTCTTTCGTCTACCATGGTATGTTCTTAAACTGTATTCGAATGGTCTAGTTTCCTGAAGAAGCCACAGACTAACAGATGTAACTTAAGAATTGCTTTGCTCCTTTTCCACGCGGAAGTGATTTATACTGGACAGCTTTCATCTTGAGTCACTATTGGTCTAACCCTTTTCAAAGACGAACGAGTTTATGTGTTCGTGAGCCTTCTCTCAAGACAGAAGAAGAAAAATGGTGTCGCTGAAGTAATTGCGGACAAGGTCACCTAAACCCTTTAATTTCCAAGCACGATCGATAAAAAAGAATTTGATTTCTTATCTTCATCATTGTTTTCAGATCGCGAGACTTTGGCAAACAATGAAATAAAGGCTGAGAAAACGGAACAATTTTCAAACGATGCGGAAGATTCATCTAACAGTGGTAATTACTTTCGAACCTCTTACGACGGATTCCTTTACTGATTTTAATTCTGCCATGGTATCAAGATAGAATATTCGTGGTCCTCATCCAAATAAGAGGTACAAGAGGAATCTGACCTCTGTAGCAAGGTTCATAAGGCAAAAATCGACATGAAAACGCTAAAAATTGAGAAAATTTTGGAAGTTGAACTGTAAAATAGGAAATATAGCCACTTAAGAATCCTACTCTCACCTTACTGGTCCTGTTATAAGGGTTAAGTATGTATGTATTTAAAATGTTTACGTCTAGCTTGTTGGCATCTAGACAATTATGTTAACCCCGTTCGGAAAAAAAGGAGGTGGAAGCTAATTTTCTTTCTTTTGTTTTTAACTCAGATCGCCCAGTCCGTCAATGTCAATCTCGCTACTCTTTTCGCTCTAAAAGAGGAGGGTCGTTGCTTACGCAGAGTCGACCAACAGGTATTGTAAACTGTTCAAAAATAGCGTTTTACCTAAACGCCTTATGCATTTATCGCGTGTTGATGTTAACGATACTTAATTTTTTACATCGACAACGATGTTACACAATAGACTTTTTTACCGATATGGCGACCATATTGAATTTGTTAGATTTAAGGAGTATTATGGGATTCCCAGGGGGCACTCGCTCAGTATTTACGCGCGCTTTTCGGGCAAAAAGAGAACTTCAATGTATTCTTCTCCGGAAAAAGACGAGCATGATTACATCCAAACACGGCACAACGATCTTTTTTTTCCGATTACAATCTTTTTCTGGGAAAACGTGAAGAAAAATTGGCCCGAAAAGCGGGCGTAAATACTGAACAAGTATAACCGATAGTGCTCATGCCCCCAGGGCATCCCATAATACTCCTTAAATCTAATTAAGTCAATATGGCCGCCGTATCGGTAAAAAGGTCTATTGCTCATTCTTGTAAAATAAATAAGACTGCATACAGCCGCATTTCAGAACATTACTACCCAGTACATTGTTTGATAGCTTGCATCTTTACATCACATCAAAGTTTTTATCCACGGGTTAAAGTTGCTCGACCATGTATATAAAGCAAAGTGTACCTGCATAGGAAAGAACTGCGAGAGAGACTTATCTAACAGATTTTAAAATCAGGGTATATGTTTTTTTCAGTTACACTGTAAACAATTAACAGAAGATAGCTGAATTGAGCAACGTATTTAAAGGGGGGTAATTTTCCGTAGCTTTCATTTGAATTTCACACTCTTCAAATATAGTGACCACAGGTTAAAAAGTTAGAACAACCTTGCACAGCATCATAAACACTAGCGCTTGGAAGGTCATGCTTTCAATGTGTGACTTAAACGCTTAACAGTCTTTTGCTTTATTATAAAGAACTAGTTGCGTGAAAACACAAGAAGTGAAATAAACCTTTAATCTTGTACCCAGATCTCTTATTGACGTAGCCGACAAGAGATCTGGGTACGAGATGAGTAAACCTTTCCTCCGGACCTTTTTAATGCTTGCATGAGTATATGTATGCAAATGATAACATCGAAGAAACAGCTTTTCAGTCATAAAAGTGTATTTTGTTTTTCTTGTTTGCTTGGTGACTATTATGGGAACAACACTGTAATGTGGAACTCATTTTTCATCGTAAACTAAAGCTAGACATTTCATTTTGATTCTCAGTGAGAAAAACAGTTGTACTGTGGAAATTTATCAAGGAGCTACTTGAGAAAAACGATCCATGTGTCAGTTGGATTTCACGAGAGGAAGGAACCTTCAAATTCGTCGACTCTAAGCAAGCCGCGAGACTTTGGGGCCAGCGGAAGAACAAACGAAATATGACCTATGAGAAGATGAGCCGCGCGTTACGCTACTACTACGATCGGCAAATCATGTTCCATGACGAAGGACAGAAACTTATGTACAGGTTTGGTGATGGGGCTAGAGAAGATAGAGGGCAAAGTGAACCTGATGAGTCGTAGAAGCTATATTTGAAAAGACCAAGGAAAAAAAATCATTTTCTAGTTGGTTAACAAGAGCCTGAAAACCAGGAGGAACCAGATTTCTGAAGAGGTTTTCCTAAGGTGCTCACATCAGAAGATTTTGCCTGAATTGACCAGTGGGTCTAAAAAGACTAAACTGGTGTTTCACTGGTCTCTGTTAGATTAGAATAATACTTATTTTTTAATGCTTCATTATTTTCTTGATTCCCATCTTTTTTTAAATTTTATTATTTGTTTTTATAGAATATAAACAACTCCGAGCTGCAAAGCTTGTAAGTTTAACTTGAGAGGACTTGTTTTTCAAAAGAACAAATATACTTTTTAATAGAATCAAAAAGAATACAGACATCCGCATTTTGCGTTGTCTTTAACAAAAAAAATGTATTATGACTTATAGCAATGGCGTCTTTTTATTCTTGTAAAGTCCTTTTTCTCGTTGTAGAGCCGGCTTTTTTTTACCAACGCTAGTATTAATATGGCGAAAGATTATAAGCTTTTTGACCTTTATAGAAGGAGGGAACATATATTTTTATCGTATTAAGTATAGGATAAAGACATGTACTTTCTTTACACTTGGATTTTAACGCAGAAACTTTGTAACTAATGACATCCTAAAATTTAGATTTTTTCATCTTGCTTTGATTTTCGCTGCAAGCAAGTATAGTTCTGTAATTCTAGGAAACATTCCTGATTACAACAAATGGACATGTCGTGTTAGTCACTCCTTGGCTTCCGATGGAAGGGATGACATAAATTACATTTAGCCACACTTTTGTGCTATCGGTCCAAAGCTTTTGTCGGAGAGAAGATCAAGAAAACGAAGTGAAGTTCGCTATGGCGTTTTCACCCTCAATTGTCACTTATATTCCTGGATGTAGCAATAGCTTTTGCCCATTGGTCCACACTTGCTGTTATCTTTCTACTGAGATCATTCTTCGGAAGGAAACTCTTGTCTCTGTTTGTACAAACGGACTTCAGTATACTTAAGTGTACGTCCATGGATTCTCAATCAAGTAGGTTATTTTAATAAGTGTTAAAAAGCAACAACAACAACAACAACAAACAACATATTAAACAACAACAAAAATCAGTACGTACATAATTTAGCGATGACAATTTCTTCCTTCGTTTTGTCATTTACAAGACAATACGCGTCATGGATTAGAGCAATGGCGTCTTTCGGTTTATACTTAAGTCTTTTACTCAAAGGACCGATCCGTTTTTACCAAAGCATGCATATAGTATTAATAAGGCGAAAGATTACAATTCAAAGTAGACAGACTGCAAATTATAGTAGTTACTAAAAAATATATCTACGTGTCTCAACTGTTCATCAGTAGGATGCCTAAAGTTTGTTTTCATTATAGAAGGAGTAAATAACTTGTTTGTAGTTTTATTTTTATTTTTATTTTTATTTTTCTTTCGGATTTTTATAAAATAATAATATGACTAAGGGCTGCATCATGAAATAACCAAATGGTTTGTAACCCATCGCGTCCCTTTTCGTGGACGTTGAAAGGTTCAAAACCCCGTTGGCCTCCACAAAGGTCGCGCGCTTTTGTGTGAAAATGTCCACAAACATCTGCTACTAAACGTCAAACAAGGGAGTTCGTAAAATTGTTTTGGTGATACTGTAAATAAATTGACTGCATCAGATGAGGTTGACTGGTACTTTTCCAAATTCTGTTTATACTAGATCTCTGCTGGGATTAATTTTAGAACAATGGGAGACAAAGCATTTGGTTTGAGATGGCCTTACATATAAACTATTGAATAAAATACAGTCAAACCCCGTTAATACTTACACCGAGGGAGCCATAGAAAGTGTCCGTAATAACGGGGTGTCCGTATTAAGCGGGTTGTCATTTAGAGAAAACCTAAGGGCTTTCTTTCCCCAGGGACAAAACAAACTGTCCGTATCATTGAGGTGTCCGTATTAAGTGGGTGTCCGTATCAAGTGGATGTCCGTATTAAATGGGTGTCCGTGAGGCGGGGTTTGACTTGTATATAGGCTGGGAAATGAATGGGGATAAAACGTGTACATGCACTGTAGATAGAAAATTAACAGATGATTGCTTAAGCTTGTATTTTAAGACAAGGAAAATAGAAAAATTATATATATTTAGTCACTTTAAGTGACTATAAAATTTTAAACATATGGGGCCAAATATTTAAACGAAGTCTAAGTTAAGCCGCGGTTTAACGAATCTCCACATCTCTTTCTTAGTGGTTTGCTTTGAGAAGATAAATGCTTTTCTAGTCTTCCCTATATGCTTTTATAAAACTGTTCACAATAAATGATGTTTAGATAAAATCATACGGGTTAGGAAAATTGAGAATGACTTAGAACGCTGTTTTGTTAAACACTGGCTAAACTACTTTTAAATATTTGGCCCATGGAGTCGACAATTGAAGAATCTCTAAGATTCAATATAGTATGTGCTAATCGTAAGAGTATTCAGATATGATTATATGATATAATTCAAGATTTTTTTGTAACAAAGAAATTCTATGCTACCCTATAACTGCCATGCAGTTGTTTCTCTTCCTTTACAACTGTTTTGCCTTTCAATTTATACACGCAGGTCGTGAGAGATTGATTTTCGTTTAATCTTCCTCGTTAGTTGTGACTTCTTAGTGTTTTTTTTTTTCTGTGTTGTAGTTTTGATTGATACACTGTATTTTAGAGGTTTGAAATAAAAAGTTGTCCGCCCTAACTTTGATATTTTCACTATCATTAATTTCGCGACGATGGTACAACTGAGTGGCGTGGATCCCGAGACCTTCAGATAAGGGGGGGGTCATCCAGACCAAACAAAAGTTTTGGCTAAAAATAAGGGGTGGATCCCGAGACCAGGTTCTCTCCCCTACTCGTACGGATAGGAGAGAATCCTGGGAACGAGGTTGTTAAATACACTGAAAATTAAAAAGATCTGTTTCGGCTAAAAAATGTCAATTCATCTGCCGACAAGGCCAAAGTCTGATTCATCTCCTCGTGAAGCCATTTGAGCAAAATTAATTCAAAACAATTTCATCCAAAGGCTATTCCAACCCATGCTGAGACTCATTTCAGCCCCTAGGCATTTGCCGATTGTGCTAGTAAAAGTGGCATATTATGCTAGTGGCAGTGCTCGTTTTTTGCCCAAATTATGCTCAAATTATGCTCGCTTTTCAAAATTATGCTACTTTTTTAAAAAATTATTCTGTGCACAAACTTCACAACTCACAAGACAAGTTTGAAAATGTTTTATTAACCCTGGCCAGACGTTCTGGGCCCGGGTTCAAAACCTGAGTAACTTTATCCGGTGGTTGGGAACGGCGAATAAATCTGCTATCCAGCGGATAGTTATCCAGCGAACAAAAAGGTTGCACAAAGCCTGGAAAATTGGATTCGAAAATTTGTGCAGGCTTTGGTCTATCTCTCTGTTCTCGCAACCTTGTAAAAAAATGTTCAATTGACTGGTTTGGCGTCTGCCATTTTGAAACGAGCACTGGGAGAAAGACAAAGTCTGGGACCGAGACACAGACTCCGGTTCCGTTTCATCGAAAGCGGTATTCAACACAACAAAAAAAAAAAATCGAAAAATAATGGAAAACTGTTAATAGTAATCTATCGTTTTTAGTAGCTGAGATCTTCGTTTTCTTGAATTATTCTAAAATTGTGCTATTAAGACAAGAAAATATACGGATTATGCTAGCAGTGCTACTTTTGGAAAAAGGGCAAAAATTATGCTCAATTCCTCAGATTATGCCAAAAATTATGCTAGCACAATCGGCAAGAGCCTATCAGCCCCTCGGTACAAATCAGCGCCAGGTAACTGGGCTGTATTGGCCCAAAAGGACTGTGTTTTAATGACCAAAAAGGCCCAATTTTAAGGGCTGAAACAGTGTTTATTCATGAGTGAAAGAAAAATGAATTTTAAAAACAATAAACCGTAACCCTTCTGAGTGGGACAAGTTTTCTCCCACCTTTATCATGTTAACCGACGGAGTGGATAAATATTAAAAACCCAGCTGTTTACAATGGAAACGAATACAGTATGTGTTAAACTGCCTCTTTAGTGTTATGATTGTTTTAATACTTGTTATTACAGATTTCACCTTGTCAGATGAGCTTGAAAAAGGGCTTTCGGTCCTTCAAGTGAATTTATTACGAATTCTCAATTTGTCTTAAAGTACAGGTGTAATTTGACTTCCCCAAAAACTTATCTTGCGCGATGGCAAAATCCTTTTACCCTGGGCTATCGGACTCTCAAATTTCCTTGCACGTTGCAACAATGTGTGGATCTATCATTATCAATAATGTTAAAAAAAACTTTTCAGTAGTTCAAAAATATGCAAAAAAAAATTATCGAGTATTTTCAAAATTGTTTAAAAGTGAGCTTTTGTACCTGAAGTTTTCTTCGCCCTTGCCTTCGCGCTTGCTATCCCTTGACCGAATTGGCGAAAAAAGCGAGAAAAAAACCGATTGTTAGGCAAGCTATTACTCCTGGGCCAAGATTATAGGTGGAATTTATGAAGAAAAAAACTGGACTAGCTCACAAGTAAGAAGGGAAGGCCTTCTCTCTTAAAAAACAAAACCGCGTTTTGAACGGAACGAAGAGGATGTGTGTGGTTAGCTAATAGTTGTCTCTGTTGAATCAATGCGTTGACTTTTGAGCCGTCTCAAAATGATAATAAAAATTAAAAAACCCTGGTTAATAAAATTTTATCGTTGCGCTGCATTTATTTAAAACCGCATACTCCTGTAAAGGAGAAATCAGGCCCCACATTCTTTTTTCGTGTGTGTGTGTAAAACAAACGCTTGCTGGGTTTCGTTTACAGGAGCGAGATTTCACGACTTAGCAAGTTTTACTTTTCCACAAAATACATATCTGGCTGGTTTTTCCGCCTACGCCTGATGTTTCACGCGCCCAAGACATTCAAAGAATATATTTGAATTAATTAACTTCGCAATTCCCAATTGCCCTGAAGTGTATGTGGTAAACAACCCTTGTTCTCGCTACATAGTCACGTGCAGTAAACCAAATCCAATCAGAAATTATTATTCAAATCAGAACGTTGCTCCGTGCCACATTAAAAAAATTGGTAACTTCGGTTGCGGACGCTGCTAGCGAAGGTTTCTCAAGAAAGAATAGGAAGACGCTCTCAAGGCATAGCAAACTCGCTATCCGTCTTTCCCAGCGTCACGACAAGGAAGCTAACTATGGAAGCAGTCTGCGATATTAAACCAGCACCTGAGGTAAATTACTTGTTAAAGTTATCGCCAGTTGGGTTGAAATTTGTATTCCGGCTAGTCCAAATTATATATTACTTCGTTGTCGAATGTTCTTGTTATGAAGTTAACTTATTTGTTCTCAGAGGAGAAATAGCGAGTAGAAATGTAAGCAAATGCCCGCCAAGCAAATTAGTGCTAAAGTAGTGCATGATTTTTGAAATCCCCTTCGTAGCTCGTACGAGGACGTACGCGTGACTGTTACCAAAATATAGGCAAGGCTCAGTGGAGATATCAATGTCCTGATAAAGTATTAAGATAACGCGGCAATTTATGTCATGGTCTTCTTCCAAATTCATATTGGTGACCAGGAAAGGAAATTACTAAAACGACAAATTTTATTCATTTTTCTTCAGTCTACAACAGCGAGATTTTGATGGAGGTTAACATCACAAAATGAGGCCACCGCCTGGACCAAGTGGAAGCTATCGCGGAAAGCCTCCAAGTTTGCAAAAGGTATTTTCGTCAATTTCTATTTATTTAAACAACAATTTTATATTTAACGGAATAAAGAAATTTACGTACCATTATACTTGAACTGAAGTGTTGAAGATAGAAAACGTAAGGGGCCGTGGTTGTCCTGTTGTCAAGTGTTAATAGGGCAATTTTGTGAATTGCTTCTCGGTTTTCGCTTGCACTAAACAGGTTGGAATATTTGAAATTTATTAAGATCATACTGACTTTCTTACGCTAGATGAGATTTCTCCAACATTCCAGCGAAGCTTTAGCCAAGTGAATAAAATGAATTGACAAAATAAGTGATACATACATGCAGCCAATATAGTTTAAAATGACTATAAACAGTTGAGATGATAATTAGACTTGTGACGATTTAATTTTTGGATTGATAGTGAATCCTGTGACTTAATTGCAATATAGTTGTAAATTGTTGATTAGTTTTTTGCATTTTTTAAATATGTTTTCGTTATTTTTGGCCAACCATTTGCAATCCAACCTTGATACAGACCTCGTATGATATAACCAGACCACGCGTGAATTCTCGCGCGAGCTCTCGCGCGCGTAAATAGATTGCGACAGAGCCTGAATGGTTACTACTGTGTTAAACATTGAAATTTACGATTTTTATTAGGAATGGAAAAGATTCGCAAAGATCGTCATTAGAGCCACACCTCACGTGACATAATTACATCACGCACGACGTCTCGCGTGAACTCTCACCAGAATAGATTGGGACAGGGCCTGACTAATTACCATGATGTTAGGCACCACAATTTACTATACTTATTACAAATGGAAAAGAGTCGCAATGATCGTAGCCTGTACACAGACGTTGTTTTATTTTTCTTTTCGAAAACATCGGCGAGCGCGAGTTCTTCTTCCCCCACCCCCTTATGCTGGGGGGTCAATAAATCCTCCCGCAGTTTTATTTTTTGTCACGCGCGCTCAACGGACTTTGAAGAGAAAATAGAGGGCCTGTGAACAGGCTACAATGGTCTTCACCAGAGTCCTTAATCTTAGTAGTGTTGCTTTTCTTGCAAACCTTTTTCGTATTAAAGACGGCTTTTCAAAACTGCAAATGATTTCAAAAACTAAAGCATTTCCGTATATTTTTCTCCGTTTCTCTTCACGCAGCTCTCTGACGCTTAATTCAGCCATTTCACTGTTTTTTACTCAGATCGTCATCTTTTCAATTTTCAGCTCAGCCCACAGACTCGACGATCTTCCTCAGGCAGACCTGTCTATCAGACCAGTCTATCAGATCCGCCCCAGATCAGACCACCACGCGGGACCATCAGATCAGACCGCCACACCAGACCACCAGATCAGATCACCCCACCAGACCACAGACCACCATCCTTGACTACTCAGCTTCCAATCATCACAGCATACCCAACCTCTTGAAATGGTACAGGTCAGGTGCATTCCTTATGGGTTGGGTGAAGGGGGGTATATAGAGCTCTGGATGAACCTTGCAAAGCATACTTTCCACACACTTTCGGCCTGAATTTTCCGGACTTTTTTTCGGCTTAACTTAACTGTAGTTAGATTAGCTAGCGGGGTTCCCCGGGCTGGTAAGGTCCTCCCCTGCCCTTTTTCTTAAGTTGGGTTCCTTTGCAGGTGTTCGGTCAGCGGTTCTGCTTTTAGAAATAGGCTAGGTTTTTTGGATTCCGTTCGGCTTCATCTTCGGCTGCATATTTTTGCGCATTGCCAGATGGATTTCGCCACCGTCGTCGTCGTCATCGTCGTCTTCACTACAACCTCCCGCTTAGCTGCGCGAAATTGAATTGATCTATCACACTTCACTTGACAGTCTACGCGCTGGTCAAGTGAAGCTTTCATCCGCAAGGTTCAACCAGACAGTGATTATTCTAAGAAATAACTTAGTAAACTAGAGACTTCAGATCATTCAGCTACAGTGAGAGGACCTCATTTGGTCACTGCTTACAAGCTTAGTGGTCTCTCTGGTTACAGGTAAATAGTTAGTATAACCTCGCAAATTCGGGTCTGCTCCTACCAAATTGACTTTTGATGTTAAACAGTATAGGTGTGAAGTGAAATTTTTCGTTGGTGCGCATTTGCAGGCTTCGAACTTGTGAGGGTAGATAAGTTGACAGGTTCAGTCGCACAACAACGGCAATCTGCAACCAGGCGTTTCTTCCCGCGAAGAGCCAACACCTTGTTGCAGTTTGCCAGGGAAACTTGGGACAAACCACACACCATAGGCTAGATCGTTTACAAATCGTAAGCGTAGGAAGACTTCGAGACCAATCTACGACGCAGATTCATCGTTGGGGGAGCACGAATTAAGCCGTATTAGCCTGCGAAGTAATCACGAGAATGCTATAATGCCGAATATTTCGGGGACACACATGTGGAGGCCCACCATACCTTGATATGCGTGCCCCTGAATGGCATTCATGTGAAAATTTCGCTGGTTATAGATAGTCTTTAAGTATAAGTAGCAGGGGAGGATACTCTGGTCGTGGCATGGTTGACACTTAGACGATTTGATTTGTCTTCCTGTTAATTTTGCCTCGCTGGGGAGTTTTCTTCTTAGGAAGCCCTGCATTGCAGTACGCAAGCACAGATCGTCTACAAATGGTAGGCGTACGTAGTCTTCAAGTCGACGGTTCGTGGTTATTGGTTTCTTCGTTTTTTTTCTCCTGGAGTAGTCAGCGGTGTTCTACCCCCGACAGTTCTTGAAGTACGTCGTGACTGGGATTGAATCCTATGCATCACACTGTTCAAGTAATGTTTGCTTTGTACATGATGAAAATGTGAATAAAATTGATTTTATTGCGTTGTATTGTATTGTTGGTCCAGTACTAGAGCAAGTGAAGATGCCGGCCGAAGAAAGAAGAGCAAAGAACTTCAAGAGTCATAGAAAGATAGTCTTGTAGTCCAATTACTTAAGTAGGCGAGTTAGCTGCCTTTGCAGCCATGAACAGATGGTCCATGTTGGACCAAACCGGACAATGATGATAATGATGATGATGACGACGATGGTGATGTTCATGACGACGACCATGATGATCGTTTACACTAAGACTTCATTTTGCTTCTATACAAACAGAAGCCGATGACATCGTAGTGTAAACGACTTCATGATTAGGAAGGCAAGGTAAAGCGAGTGGAGATAGCACATAGCAATAACTTTAAAGAGCTGTCTTAACTAACGTTGAAGTTTTCATAATTAAGCCCCATATATTTCCCCCATCTCCTTCGAGTGGGAACAAACTTAAAAATTTTTGAAGCGAATGAAACCAATTTTTCTTGAAATTAAGCAATTGGAGATTGCAATTCCAAAAACTGTTTCGGACAGAAAATGCATTTCAACTTATCTCGAATGCCATGTTCGGCAGTTGTTATTGTTGTCATATAGTGCATCGTTAGTTGAGACACCTCCTAAAATTTATTTATATAAATTTTAATTGGCCGGCCGGACTTCATCTTTGGAGCAACTCCAAGTCATCAACAACGACTACAACGACGTCATGGACTATACATAACTACGCCTTGGTCTCTTGGATTGTGGGTCCCAGTATCATTGGTCCTATGTTGGAGGAACATGACGACAGAGTACAGCAGCCCATATAAGGTAGGGCTGATTGATGTTGGTACAACGTTTGCGTAAAACTAACTTGCTAGGCCTGGAATAGTGTGCGGCAATTTTTATTTCCATGGCATCGTTGTTTTTGTAAGAGGCGAAGTTTCGTAGCTGAAATGCAAACATTGCACCACATCAATCAACCCAAGCAATAATTCACTGTGGTACAAGGTATGTAGAATTTTTTTCTTTGCTAGGCGATTAGATTTTCGGTTCGGTCCATTCGGCTTTTTTTCCGGTCTTCTATTCGATTCGGCGATCTGATTTTGGATTCGGCTTCGAAAAAATGTGAAGGCTTGGAATCGACGTTGTTTCGATAGCAAGCCGCAAAAACATCCCTGCGTACCGTCTGGGAGCCCCTGGTGTGTTTCATTCGAGGTGTCAAGGTTTGTGGACACATGTTACACCCCTCGGTCCCACCCAGACGCAAAATTCTCTTAGGAGCGCACCCCATACATTACTTAATTTCTGTAAACGGCGAACTCAATTCAATAAAAAACACTTATACCTAATGCGTTGTCTGTGTGATTTTTTCTTTTATTATAAAGCTTAATTTATAGAGTAACTATCTATAAGTACTAATGATGATTTGATTTGCAGGGATATTATAAAATAATTTTTGTAATAACGACAATAAAAATAAAACAAAAATAAACATCGAGTTGTGAGTGTGATGTCTTTAAACGCAACCACGCGCATTGACCGACATTTAGTGTCGCATCAGTGTGTTTTACCTTAAAAACACAAATAACTAACATTTCATTCCAGGTACTCGGAGTACGTCGAAAATCACATATTTTTTTCGTTTTTGTACTGCCACATTTACTGCCATCTTTTTTCTCAAGACACATGGCCTTTTTCACGAACCTTTTCCCTCTTTTTGGATGCGTTCCTGAAGAAACGCATGGCGGCACTAGCAACTTGGAAGTCGGAAGTGAACTCAGCGTGCGTCGAAAATCACATATTTTTTTCGTTTTTTTGAACTCTACGGCCACTTTTTTTCTAGAACGAATGGAAACACATCTTTTTGGGCGCGCCCTCTCAAGATCACACATGGATTTTTTCAACCTTTTTCCTCTTCTTCGATGCTTTCCTGAAGAAACGCATGGCGGCACTAGCAACTTGGAAGTCGGAAAGTGAAGAGCTGAATGGATTAAAGGCTATTGTAATAACTGAGTTGTGAGTAATTAAAAAATGGTTAAAAATAAAGTTTAACAAACGAAAAGTATGCCATCAGTTTGTTTTTCTTTCTTTAAACCAGCTCTAAATAATCTAAATAAGTTAGATTTTGTTGTAACGGAGTTGCTTTTCAGGAATTTACAATAAAGATTGACCAACACAATGCCGCTTCAATAGTGTATTTCTTCTATTAGACAAATACTAAGTAATTTAAAAAGCTTTATTTCAGGAACTGCGGACGTCATCTTTTTAAACCTTTTTTTCGCTCGAACATCGTCGCCTCGAAGACGTCTTTTTTGGGCGCGCCCTCTCAAGACCGTTTTGGCTGCACTTCTGGCTGCGTTCCTGAAGAAACGCATGGCGACACTTATTACGACTGAAAAACCACTCCAAGTTCTAAAGGTAATGCAGATATATATTTTTTTCCAGTTGTTTTAACTGTTAGGTTATCTTTTTGTGTTGCAGAACTGGTTCGTGAAATAAGCGTTTGCCAGCGCCTAAGAGGTAAGGACGAAAGGAAAGGACCTTGAGTACACAAAATCTGATTGAACGTGATACGTGCGCTTATCCTCAGATGATACTAAAACTTTATTCAGGATTTAGTGGGATTCAAACCCACGATCTTTGTCTAGTTACTGGTGCTCTTAGTCTTCAGAAGAGTGCAATGTTCAAGATGCAGGACCCTGAAAGATGTACTGAATCTGTTTTATAATAGCTGCCAGAAATTGATTGGGCGCAATTAGTCAGTTCCAAGGTTTTTTTAAAGGAAATGGAGCTTGCAAGTGATTTTCAACAACACACCAAAGTCAGTGTTTTGATGTTATTAATTATGTTTCCAGAAGTGTTTCATTTAGGTTAGAGAAGTCCAGCAGTGTTTTGGCAGTCCTGAACTCCTATCAGCAGCGATGTGTAACCTGTAAGTATTGGAATATAGGAAAGGCTTGGTCTTCAAAAGGATAAAGATATAAAACCAAACACTGCGAAGTTTTCTTTAAGAAAAGTGTTTAGGTAAGTCTTCTGTTCCAGTGGGATTCCAACCCCGGCCTTGAACATTGCTTCATTAGTAAGCAAATCCTTGTGAAATTTTCCAATGAGATTAAAACTTCAGGGCGTCTGAAAGAAGCTGTATAGTTGGGAGTTGATTTTCAACTGTCATTGTGCAACGTTTGCTGTGATGGTCTGTTTTCAGGAACTTTTCATTTAGATCTGTGCTGTTCCAGAGGTTGTCTCCATGACAACACGCAGACGGTCTTTACGTAACATTAACCGGCGTAGTGACGCAGCGGTATGAACACGTGACCCTACCGACGAGATCTAAGGTATGTACCAGGAAGGAACAAAATGTTCACCCAAAATAATCTAGAACGACCAACAGGCCTTTGATCATTTTTTCAAGCCATGACTTTAATTCCAATGATCATGATCATCCTATTGAGAACTTAAAAGTATAAGCGCTATATAAATATTTTATTATTTATTATTATTATTATTGAGCTCGACAAAGATGAGTGTCGTGTTTTAATTGAATACAAATCCAAGAAGTCATATTCCAAACAGCGTTTAGGCCACTGTCTAGACCAAAACTACATGGAGGAATAAACAACCAAGGATTAAAAGAAATTAGTATCGCATTCAACAGTTATAACCAAGGATAAAAAGTTGCTTGTTTTCTAAATTCATGTTCTCGAGAAACCTTATATTCAGGTCAGAGGACTCCTGATGACAGCGAGCATATAGTGCAACCCGAAAGTCTCTTAAGTTGCTACAAAGAGATCTGGACGAAAACCCGCTTGGCAGACCCATAGGTAAGTACAGAGAAAAAAAACTGTACGAAAGGAAAAGGAAAGGAAAATGGTAACAAGAAGCTCATGGCCTTTGTTTAAGTTTTGGACTTGCAGCGCCCTTACTAAAAGCTGCAAAAAAGAGGCTCTTTTTTTGAATTTAAACCCGTATGTTTAGCTGTTCATGACAATAAGCAAACTTCATCAAAAAACGGAAATAGAATTAAGTGGAGACATGTCGTGACTTTTAGTGTTGTCTAAATGCAGTTTCCTTACAGATGAAGGTGCCTAATTTTGCACGTTAGAAGACATACTCTCCTTCATTGGACTTCTAATCCATGAAGGTCGCTTGATTTACGAGGTATTAGTGGGATTCAAACCCTGGCCTACTAAGAGGAGCGAAATATGTGATAGATTCTCAGTTGCTGAAAGCTAAATTTCTTGTTTCTTGAGATACATATTATTTAGGTCCTTAAGACTTCAGATGTGACGCCTCGTCGCGGCTAGCGGCTGTCATGAAATCCTCGCCAGTGACTTGAAAATGATAATGTTGGATCTTGCTCAAGTCGACAGAGGTAAGTACAAGATTTGTCTGAAAATAGATTGGGCTCAGATGGAAGCTGTGGGCAGAAAAAAATTCTAATAAAAGTTTTTTTTTTAAATTAAATGGACTAAGCATGTGTTAAAGCTGCAGAAATCGGGGAGAAGAAGGGGGCAGCTCCACCTTAATTCTGTCAAAAGCTTCAGCCTTTCCTTCCACTCTTGCATTCAGTTGTTGTTTCTTTTCACTAAATTTGCTTGCAGCCTCGTCTCCTTTTTCTAGAGAGAGGTAGGAAGGCACCTTCATGATTATGAGTGAAGGGCTGGCCAATTGCAAATAGATGACACCTACTGCATTGATAATGATAATTAATTATCCGGCTGATAGCGATGGTGTTGATGACGACGAAGATTAAGAAGTGCTGTCAGTGGCAATCAGCGACGGTGGTGGTGATGATGTATCTACTCATATGACGTTGTTCAGCAGGTGAAACGTGCATTGAGACTTAAACTAGGAATACGTGTATCGCAGAGCTTCGCCAGGCTCGGGGAAATCTCGTCCCCAGGGCGCCTTTTTGGGGTTGAGTGGAAGAGGACCCTGGAAGCGAGGTCGGGCTCGGGGTAGGATGACTCGTTCAATGACAAGTATGGGAGGGTGGGGAGAAATACGCCACTTGTACATCTCTCATAATGTACTTTATTTGCCTCCCAAAATTTTGCGTTGAAGCATTGTTTTCAGTTTCTCTTGGGACGGCTGTAATACCCAGGATAAATGAAAAACAAAGGTTATGGAAAATTTTGGAGGGCAGAAAAGGTGCATTATGGGAGATGTACAAGTGGTGTATAAAGTAAATTGTCCAGCTCAAGACCTATAATAACACAACAACAAAGGCAAAAGGGACTTGAGTTTTCCCGATAGTTCAGATGATCTTGGCGTTCTTCTCGGAGGATTTACAAAGGCCAGTGAGGATAAAATTAAAAATAACAACATGCAAATGAAGCACTTGATGGACTCATTTGAAGCACAAAGGGAAAGAAAAATGGCAAAAAAGTAAATAAATGAAGAAAATGGAACAAAAATGAACTCAATATAAGAAATGAATAAACGAAAGAAAAATAAAACAGAAAAATAGTAAAATAATAATAACACTTGATAAAATATATAATAATAAATTGAAAATAAAATAAATAATATGAGAATAAGAAAGACAATAATAATGATAGCGATAATGGTAATAATAAGAGAAAAGGAAATAATTGCAACAAAAAAGACTTGATTGATTATTGTAAACAAAACTGCCAGGACTTTAAAGCAGTCTTGTTTCAAAAATCCAGCAAGAAATTTATCTTTTAAATTTCTAAAGTCTTTTTAGTTGCCACTACTAGTGTTTTTCCTTTTCTATTACTATCATTATTGTTATTATTATTATTATTATTATTTAAGTTCCATTTTGTTCCATTCTTCAGATTATTTACTTTTTTCGTCGTTATTCCTTTGTGCACTAGTCATTATTTTTAACTTATATCCCTATTGATCTATATAACTTTAAATTTTACACTATTGCATTAAAGTTTTCAACAGAGCCGAATTCATAGTATACAAGGACGGCCTGCCTATCTGAATTTTCTGGAACCGCCAAGTCGCTTTTGTCTTTGCTTTTTTGTTTTTTTTTCCTCATAATTTCTAATTACACGCATTGATCCAATAACGAAAGGAGTGAGGGAAAACTAAGCTTTTATAATAAGTGCAGATAAACGTGTGGTCTTGACTTCTTGAGAGATATAGGAACAGTGAACGTCGACAAACTGGACAGCTTGATGAGGCACCATGATGTGAAGAGGTCTAGACGTACACGATTAACCGTTGTTGCCTGCATGATGATGATGATGATGATGATGATGATGATGGTGATGCCGACCATGATATTGAGGATTTTGTTTACGATGATGATGATGACGATGATGTTGACACCATATGATGATGATGCTGATGATGATGCTGACGATGATGATGACGATGATGTTAACAACGACAATAATGCTGACGATGATGAGAATGATGATGATGACGATGTTAACGAAGATGATGAAAATGACAACGATGCTGTAAATGATGATGATGATGATGATGAGGATGAAGACGATGACGATGAAGAAACCCCAAATCTCGGTTTATCACCATGGCGACGTTAAATGGTGAGTGTCAGAACAGTAATCTTCGTTCTTCTTAAAAATCCCTAACTGTTCCCCAGCTTCTCTCACTCAATATCAGTGAGGGAGTCACCTGGACTATTTCTTCGTTGACAGTCTCCTGCGACCGTTCTGTGACCGACAGAGACAAGAGAGGCGGCTGGGAACGAGCCATCTTCGATAGGGTAAACGCAAAGACCCAAAACTGCAACGAGAGGGGTGAGGGAAATGTACCCCTTGATAATGTGTCCAGTTAAACCAGAGGTCTTGACTAACCTCAGTCGTTAGCTTTCCCTGCTTTACTTATCAACGCTGTGAACTGCAAAGGAAGGACAGTAAACGCGGTTCTGGACTGGACACAACTCTATCAATGGATTTTGCTTATAATGTAATCCAGTCGCAAAAACAGAAGAATATAAATTAGCAGTAAGCATTGATCGAAATTACTTCTATGATGAAATTAAGGCTATTTGTTCTCAAATACACAATGAAAATTTAATTCTCTGCAGAAATAGAAAGATCCTTTAAAATTCGAACAATAAAGGTATGTTCTCCTTTCGTCCCAACAGCTTCCAGGAAAAGAGTGACATTGGGCGTGTTCATATATCATATCGGAGGATGAGTGTGGTTGTATACTACCCTACTACCTTACCTTCGGCACGAGAAACCAAGATCAGCTTTAAACTACTATAGATCGACATAGACTTTATTGCCAACGAGCAGGATCTTGAAGACGCGAGGCTGCGAGGCGGCAGCATCATAAAGCCGTGCGCGAAAGTTCCAAGGCGGAATGAATCTAGAAGCGATGTAACATAAAGTAGTGTAAGGTAACTTTTATGACGTAATGTAGAAAAGAGAATGCATTGTTTTCTAGCGAACACGTGCTCGAAGTCACAAGCGAGTAGTGTAAGGTAACTTTTGTGAGAGCAGTGAGTTCCATGACGGTAAATGACGGACACATGCCTAACCTGTAGCCTGCATTCTCGTAAATTACGGTAATTCGTGACATTTCTGAACAAATTGAACGGCGCGCGCGTATAGGTAAAATCTTTGCTCGTTGGCACTATAGTTATAGCTATAACTAGTAATGTTCAATTAATGCTCAAGTTTAAATAGATCTAGATTGCTTTTCCCCGCGCTCGCGCTCGCTTTAGCCAGCAAGGTTCATTGAAGAAAACAGATTCGACTTCTATAGGGATAACATTTGACAATATGTTCCTCTCTTAAGCTTTTATTCTAAATTTGACCTTGTAATTTGCCAGACATTTCTAAACAGCAGTGAGTCTGAACATGGCCCTATGTACTGAACATTGAAGGGTTAATCTTTTCTCGGCCGATGAACTGAATCTATATACTTAATGAACGCTTAGTTCAAGGCATGAAAGAAAATAATTGTAGTTCTTACTTTACAGTTTGTGGTGGAAATCACACGAGTTCACCATACAATTAAAACTATTTTAACAGTACTTCTAGTTTCTGATAGTGCTAGTCATTTTTTTAGGAATTTACGAAATAAAGACAGTAAATAGATAATGTATTTATGAATTATATGGTTTGTTATGCTAAAGACGCTGTTAAGAGTGAAAACCATAAAAAGCCGTATTTTTTTTGTTTTCATATCAGCTTCGTGCTAGATATATATATGTGTAGCAAATGTGGGAGCCATGATGTAAAGAAAGAAAGCTTTTTTACAAATGGAAGACCATTTTTGTGTGCAGTTGTAATGTTTTTATGTTATTTTTATTTATTTTTTTATTTTTTTCAATTCGGCTGCGAAAATTAGAGCGTAACTTGGAACTTCTGAACTCTTCTTAATTAATGCCTAAACGCTGATTCTATAGCTTAACACTGGGTAACATAAACTGCTATAACCTTGTAATGCATGAAGATCTTCAGAGGTTCCGAGGAAAATTCTTGGCCTGATCTGAAATTTGTCTGCAAAACTTTATAGCAAGTATCTTCTGAGTGATAGGTAGGGAATCATGGCTTCCAACCCTTTTAATTGATCCAATAAACATAATTTGATATCTATGGAGCAAAAAGCGCTTTGATAATCATTACTCGAGCGACAGATATTCAAGTCGCGCTATTCTAGAGTCAGCCTGGTTGCCGAATATCCGCGAACATTTTTTTATTTATTTGTAATTGACCTTATTTTTTCTCGTATTATATGTATTTACAGTAGTGAGCCTTAAAACCCCAAAGGCTGCATACACCATAGCACTGGTCGGGGGTACACGGTCCCCGTTTTTGCCACAATTGGTTTTTCGGGGTTTACGTGTCCGGCTGTGGTGTTATATTTTAGTTGTACTTCTCATCAATAAAGTCCACTGAAGCTTGATGAAACTCTTGAAGTGCGTGTTTGTATCTTTGATGTTCATATACCGTACACTCATACGTCCCTATACTTTCAACCCTTTTACTCCCAAGATCTGATAAGCAATTCTCCCTTCCGGCTGCGATACATTTAACTGAACATTAATTCAGAGAATTTGGGTTTATGTCTAAAGTGCATCCTCTGGCTGCTACATTTCCCTATTCTCGTCACCTTTCTGCTGGACAATGAATCATGATATTATAAGGAGAAGTTAGATGCCGATCACTTCTGGGAGTTAAAGGGTTTAGTCTCTCAGTTGTAGGCCCATAACACTAATAAACAGAATAAACGTGCAGTTATAAGCCCATCCCTAAAATCCCGGACAAAACTACTTGAGAACGTGTTTTCGTAAATGCACACTACCTTACGCAACAAAACTATTTCTAAATCAACGGCTCTGCGTAAAGAAAACCCTCACCCACCCCCCCTCCACTTTAACGTTGCTGCCGACAAATGCCCAGGGATAACGCTTTCTTTTGAAGACACAACAACACTGCTTCCGGGGGAGGGGGAAGTGAAGAATCGCTACAGCTGCGGTGTTTAGGAAAATACAGTTCTTATATTTACTAAGTGTTTCGGTTTTGTAGATACGGCTACACTGATCAGACTGATAATTCATTTATGTGAACATCACCCTCATACAAGTACACGTAGCGATTAGAGTTTTAATCTTTCTCCACATAATTTATGTCCACTTGGACCTCGATATATGAGATATATGATTCAAGATTTTTTGTAACAAAGAAACTTTATGATATCCTAAATGCCGTGCAGATGTTTCTTTTTCTTCAATTTTTTAACTGTTTCGTTTAGAAACGAGTAGGACGTGAGAGATATATTGTTTTATCTCCCTTTTTAGCTTGACATTAAAGTTGTTTTAAATGATAGTCTGTATTGCCGAGGTTTGAAATAAAAACTGAACTGGTTCTAGCATCATTTTTTTTCTATTTTTAATTCAGACGCGGAGGAGAGTTTTGAAACGTAGGGGGTAGAGGGGGGAAGGGCTCATCTTTCACTCAGTCATGCGCATACCCTACTCTAATTTTCTAAAATGGCCTTGCGTTGGTACAACCGCCGCTTTATTATTTTTTTTGGGTGACGATGGAGAACAGTGATATGGACACTGTTTTAAAACCTATAAATAGATATATTTTTTAATACGTGAAAGCGAAATAAATCTCAAATCAGACAAAAACAATTATCAGTGATTTCGTTATTAATATTAGTTTAAAAGAAGCAAAAATGTAAAACATTAACACTGACCAGAGGCTACACGTAGTCTCGAATTCGCTCGTAGACGTGGTGGAAATTCTATTTTCGCGGGAAAAAGTGCCCTAAAATGTGCCTAGAAATGAACTGGTTCGTACAAACGCCGTGACATAGACCTAATACGGAAGTTGCTCGATCGCTTCGGGTTATGGGATCCTGCACTAGAGCAAAAAGGTAAAGGGTATGAAAGATTTCATACCAGTAAAGATGTTAGCCGGCCATCTTTTAGCATTTATGGGAGGTACACAACTAACAAAAAAATCTCAGTGGAAAATGAGCCAACCCGACGACGATTTCCCCGAGAACCCGGTGAAGATATAAATTCCACTGGTTCTGTTACAGAGGAGCGTTTATATCCTGGTGTTTCGTCCTTCTCTCACGCTTCTTCATGTTGACTTGTGATAAACTCATGACAAACGTTTTATATGGTGAAGCGGTGAAAGTCAGTCTATATGCTATACCAGAAAGAACATCATGTAATTGCACGCTTGCTATGAAAAAAAGCTCAAAACTTACACGCTTACTGAAAATTGCGGCTATCATCTTTACTTTTCTAACCGCTCTCCTCCGCCGAGGCTCCCGCTGGGTATCCCAACAATGACAGCAATAATCGAAAAACAGAAAGCGCGCGGGGGACGATGGGAAGAAGAAAAAGGCGAGAGTTTCTCTTACTCTCGTCCCCCTTCCCGTCGTGCCCCGCGCGCTTTCTTTTTCTTTTTCCCCGGCCTCCCTACGACACAAAAGAGAGCTTAAGCAAAGGCGTTTTTGAGCGACGGACGTCAACCGGAAGTGAGGCATTTTCCCTCTTAACATGCCTTGACGATATAAAATTTTTATTCCTTAGCTTCGTTACTGTTATAAAGGCGATTTGACTGAAAATTTGGGCGAAAACACCGTCAAAAGATGAAAAAAAGCCACTTCCGGTTGACGTGCGTCGCTCAAAAACGACTTTGCTTAAGTTCCCTAAAAGGCCTCTGCGGAGTAGAGAACTCTCGGCTCTACACTCTTGGTCTTTAAGGTGTACCTGATAAATATCCCCTATTTCCTCCTGGCTCTGCCAGCCACTGCCACCGATAGTTAGTTACTTACTTTCTTCAAGCCGTTCAAGCTCTGCATAAGTAGAGGTCTCTTTTAATTTGTTATTCCTCTTTCGGTTGCTTGTCACGGATGATAGGGCAAAACATGATTGTTTCGAAGGAAGCGTTTTGACGTAGAATAAGAATTTAGTATGCATGTTTATTTAAGGCTTGAACGGTCATTTCGAAAGTACTTGTCTATGCTTGTAGATACTGCGCTTAGCTCCATTGGCACGTATTACAAAATGAAAAAGCAGGAATCGGAAAGTTGCCAGCTCCGG